CTCTTTCTGGAGTGCTGGAAGCCAGTTACTTTACAACTCTTGAATTCTCCACGACCATAAAACCAGCAGTACCCAGATGACACCACAGTCTGCTGCCACTTTGAGCAGTACCCAGGCCCTTTCAACATAGCTACTGAGTCTTCTGAGTGCCTGGATAGTTGAGCATTGTGAACCATATTCTGGTTCCCTGGGCATCCCTTCTCAGACAGGGATGTTTGGTGCTGTCTTCCCAAAGCAAAGTCTTTCAAAGGAGTTTACTTTTACCCTTTTTCCGCTGAAGTGTAGCATTTTGCTGATTCCCAAAGTGCCCTCAAGCCATTTTTCCTATTGTCCTGACACATAGTACTCGGTTTCTTTGCACCAGGGATTGAACTCAGGACCTTGTGCTTTCAAGGCAGGCAGCAGTGCCACTGAGCTAAATCCCCAGCCCAGTACTTGGTTTCTTTTGAATACTAATCTTTCTTAATTATTTACTTTTATTGGTACCAGGGATCAAACTCGGGACCTTGTACTTATAAGGTAGGCTGTGGCACCACTGAGCTAAATCCTTGGCCTGAATGCTAATCTTTTTCATAAAGATTGTCCCAACTTTGTCCCAACTTTGCAGATGCTTGTCTTCTAGCAAAACTGAAAATTTTAGCCAGGTATGATGGCACACACCCATAATCCCAGCACTCAGGAGGCTGAAGCAGGAAGATCACTGAGTTTGAGGCCAGCCTAGACCACATAATAAATTCAAGACCCACCTGAACTGCATAGTTTGACTGTCTTAAAAAAAAAAAAATCAAAGGGCAGGGGATTTAGCTCAGTGGTTCTGCTGCCTGCATTGCAAACCCAAGGTCCTGAGTTCAATCCCTGATTTAAAAAAAAAAAATCAATAACATAAAAAGAAATAAAACCTGCTATAGTTTTAAAAATACTGAAAATTTTCCACACAGCTTTTTTTGCTCCTGATTCTCACTATAAATCTGACTAAAAGCCTGCAGTGGTATTCATGTCACAGTCTGAATGTTGGGTTGCCTTAAAATTTCCTTGACCAGATTAATTCACCACCCTTAATCTCAGTTTCCTACAAAACCTCAGGATATGGGCAAAGTAGACAAATGTTTTCCACTGGAGCATAACATACACGGCCTCCTGACCAACTTCCCGTGGAGGCCTAATTCTGCTGAAACCTCTGAGAATGGCCCGGCTGTATTTCTATCAGACTTCAGATCTCCTGAGGTCTGACCAGATTCTTATCAAGCTTAGTTTACATCATTCTAGACTTCTCAAGCTAGCATCTCCAAACCTTTCCAAACTGCTCCCACAAACCAGTTTTGGTTTTCTTGTTGTTGTTGTTGTACCAGGGATCAAACTCCAGACCTTGCGCTTTCAAGGCAGGCGGCAGAACCACCGAGTGAAATTCCTGGCCCATAGAAGTTAGTGGTTTTGGGGCCGGAGATTTAGCTCAGCGGTTCGGTGGCCTCCCTTGCAAGCGCAAGGAGCGGAGTTCAATCCCCGGTATCAAAAAAAAAAAAAGTTAGTGGGTTTTTTTTTGGGGGGGGTGCTTGTTTTGTTTTGTTTTCCATGAACCAGTTTTAAAGGCTTCTGAACCACATGGTCAGTTATAGTTACAGCAACAACCTGACTCTCTGGTACCAAAATCTGTCTTAGTCACATTCCTTGTTGCTAGGACAAGATACCCAATACCCACATCCTAAAGAAGAGGTTTGTTCTGACTCAGGGTTTGACCTGACTGACTCCAAAGCGGAAATGGAAGGGGGGTGGAAGGGTCCAGGTGGAGAAAAGCTGCTTACCCCGTGGCTCGCGGGAAGCAGAAAGGCAGAGCTGGAGAGGAGACACCCTACCATGGAAGCCTCTTCCAGCCAGGCCTCACCGTTACGCACTCATCCGTGGACTATGAGTACAGGGCCCACTTGGCCTGGTCACCGTCCAACCCCACCTCGGAACACGCGAGGCTTTGGGGGACGTGTTAGATCTCACTCGTAATAGTAGGTCAAAGGATAGCTGTTGTTCTCCCCATGTCAGTTAAGATTTCCTGGGTTCTTCTTGTATCTTATCCGTAATACATATTTTATGCATGATTCTATGGAAATATTTAAAATTGTATGTTGCTAGCTGGGCATGGTGGTGCACGCCTGTAATCCCAGGAGGCAGGAGGATCACTGCAAGTCTGAGGCTGGCCTGGGCTACATAGTGAGTTCCGGGCCAGCCTGAACAACAAAGGGAGACCCTGCCTCAATAAATAAATAAATAGAAGTTGGGCGTGGTGGCGCACACCTGTAATCCCAGCACTCCGGAGGCTGAGGCAGGAGGATCGCTATGAGTTCGAGACCAGCATGGGCTACACGGTGAGTTCCAGGTCAGTCTCAACTACACAGTGAGATCCTGTCTCAAAAAACAAAAAATAAATAAATAAACAAGCATAAAATTGTATGTTGATAATTTTATTTCAGCAGACTACATAACTAGCTTTCTGTGGGTTGTGGTTTTCAGATTGTATCAATTTAGAAAACCTCTGACATTTGGATCTTTCTTAAATGTGAACTATATAGTGGCCACCTGGTATCTTGGTAGCAGTCTATACCTTTATTATTTGTCCACAGTCTGTTCATACCCACACAAGAGCAGCTCAGTGTGACGCTGAGTTGCAGAGTGATTTTCTAAGCTCATTCCTCTCCACAAACTTTACATGTCACTCTCAGACCTTCTCTTCTGGTTTTCTGGAAACAAAACTTAGACCTTAGTTCCTGCAGTCCTGGGCATTTTCTGGGTCTGAGTCTGGGACCATGCCAAGTACCAAGAATTCAGAAAGAAACAAAAGTGCCACTCTTGGGAAATCATCTCCTCAAATGAGAACAGAATATTCCTATTAGCTCCCCTGTTACTTCTGTGACCACAGAATTTCCTGGATTCTGGGTGATATGGGATGGAGAATATCATAGTCATAAATAAAGGAAAATAGAACATTACAAAGTAGCTCGGAGTATCAGGAGTTCCCTTTATCTTTTCAAACCGGAAGAGATGGGTTCCTTCTGGAATTCTGTCTTCTTTCTTGTGTCCCTTTTAGGTCCCAGGCTGCCTTGAAAGCAGGCCATAGGACATAGGGGAAAACAGAAAACTTTCTGCTGGTTAGGTATTTTGAAACATGCTTTTGTCCCCTTCCTGTCTGCCCTCCATGGTTTGTGCTCCTGAATTGTCACAGATGCTCAGGCCTGCTGCCTCAGGCTTTGCTGCTGAGTTCAATCAGACTTTTATTTATTTACTTATCTATTTATTTTAGGCAGGGTCTTGCTATGTAGTTCAGGCTGGTCTTGAACTATGTAGCTAAACTGGCATCAAACTCACAGTGATCCTCCAACCTCAACCTCCCAAATCCTGGGATTACAGGTGTGTGCCACCACGCCCAAATCTCAATCAGACTTTCTTTTTAATCTTTTTTGTTTGTTTCTTGGTTTTTGGTTTTTTGAGACAGGGTCTCACTATGTAGTTGAGACTGCCCTGGAACTCACTATGTAGCCCAGGCTGGTCTTGAACTCACAGCAATCCTCCTGCCTCAGCCTCTCAAGTGCTAGGATTACAAGTGTGCACCACCACACCTGGCTTAGGGTGTTTTTTGTTGTTGTTTGTACCAGGAATGGAACTCAGGACCTTGCACTTATACGGTGGTCATGGTGCCACTGAGCTAAATCCCCAGCCCTGATTTGCACTGGTATCTACCGTATTACTACAGATCTCTTTTCTGTTGTTAACGATGGTATAATTGTAGCTTGCATTTATTTATTTTTTATTTTTGAGACAAGGTCTCACTACAGAGTTTAGGCTCACCTCTCAACTACTGGTATTACAGGCAGATGCCACCATGCCTGGCTGTAGCTGTTATAGGTTTTTGATTTTGCTTTTGTCTTTAGACAGGGTCTCCTTACGTAATTGAGGCTGGCCTTGAACTCATTTTGTAGCCCAGGTTGGCCTTGAACTCACAGCAACCCTCCTGCCTCAACTTCCCAAATGCTGGGATTACTGGTGTGCACCACCACGCCCAGCCTTTGTTACTGGTTCTCAAGGTATGTCAATAACCAGTTTGTTTTTTACACGTTGTTACTGCTGAATTCTTTTCTATTGTTTTTGCTGTCATAGTTATTGCTTTTAATTGCTTTTTACTGTATGCCATCATCTGGTTTGTTTCTGTGTCATCAACACGACTGTGTTTCATGCTCTCCTCTCTGAGTTACGCTGGGGGACCAAGTCTGGAGAAAAAGACTAGACACTAATAATATTACGTTGACAGGTTGAAGGGTGGTATAAACACCAAAACATAACTAAACCCAAGGATACGATGAATTTAATTAAACAGATAAAGGATTTTAATAATAAAATGTTCAAGATGGGCATGGCGGTGCATACCTATAATCCCAGCTCTTGGGAGGCTGAGGTATGAGGATCTCCACAAGTGCAAGGCCATTTCTGGTCTACATAGTGAGTTTAAGGTTCAAGGACAGCCTGCACTACAAAGAGAGTTTAAGGTTCAAGGACAGCCTGCACTACAAAGAGAGACCCTGTCTAAAAAATAAAAGGAAAAAAGTTTAATAAACTTAAAGAAGAACCAAACAAGGAACGAGACCATTTTGGTAAAGAATTAAAAAGTCTGGAAAATAGCAAGCAGACACAGATAATACGAAAAACTCAATGGAAAGTATGGGTAGCAGATTTGGCCAATATAAAAACAGTGTCAGAAACAGAAGGTAAGGTGGATGTAGGAGATCATAAACTTGATGATACATTAATAATGATAAGATGCCATATAAGATGCATTCAGCAACTGCTAGATAACAAAAAAGAAAAGCTCCTCGGGCTGGGGATTTAGCTCCGTGGTTCCGCTGCCTGCCTCGCAAGCCCAAGGTCCCTGAGTTCAATCCCTAGTACCAAAAAAAAAAAAAAAAAAAAAAAGAGCCTCTAACTATAGGAATAAATGAAAAATTAGAAGATGACTCAAAAGGTATAAAAAATGTGTTCTCTGAAATCATAGCAGAAAAATTTCCAAATCTAGGCAAATAATTCAGCATTCAAGTATAACAGGCCCACAGAGCTCCAAATACCCACGGCCAGAGAAGAACCTCTCCACAAATCGTAAGCAAAATTCCAGAAATTCAAAAAAAGGAGAAAATACTAAAAGCTGTTAGGGAAGTAAGCAAGAAAGAAAGAGGGAAGAAATGAGAGAAAATAACCTATAAAGGCAAACCCACCAGAGTAACTGTGACTTGTGTTTTTAGCCACCCAGTTTGTGGTATTTTTTTAGAGCAGCTCTAGGAAAACAACACAGGCACATTCTGCTCTATCCACCCCTCCCCAGACCACAGCAGTCTCCCCAAGTGCACTGCACAGGAGGGTGGGGGTGAAAGCAAGGCTCTTCAAAGGCCGGGGCCACACCCAGTGGCCACACCCAGTGGCCACCTCCCACCCAACTTCCGGAGCTCTCCGCCTCCCAGAAGGGTGAAGTCAGGGAGGGGAAGAGGTTGGCCTCCAAGGACCATCACAGTCGGAGTCGTTCCCTTGGGGTCACACTGAGCTCCCTTCTCCTTGCTGTTCTTGGAGCCCAGAAAGCCCAGGGGTGGGTTTTCCAGCCCTCTCATCTCCAATCCCTACCCCAGCCATCCAAGTTTGAACAGACGAGATGCGCCTTTCAACCTCCGTGTGAAAGGTGCCACCAGAAGCACAGAAAGAGGATGGCCCACCGGCAGGGTGTCTCACCTGGGTCCCTCGGCAGAGCAGGAAGGGCAGAGGAGGGAGGGAAAGCTGCTGTTGGATGCTGGGACGAGCAAAGGCGGTGAGGAGCCTCCATCCGGACGGGGTGCCTCTTGTCCCTGTACGTTTCCCCTTCTCGGGAGGTCCGGTCCCAGCTACGGGTCAGTCCAGGGCTTTTGGCCCATTTTTCCCAAAATGGACATGATGCATATGGGTGAGTCAGGGTTCTAGACTCCCAGGACCCAGCCCATGGCGTGCCCAGAGCAGGAGGCAGCAGAACTCCCTAGAGGTCCTCGGGCAGCCCATGACCCTGACTATGAGCAGCTCCCTCACAGGCACCTCTCTGCTGGGCATCCAAACCCTGCTGGACACAGGGAAGGCCACAGGCCAAGGGCGGGATGGGCATGGGACTCTGCATATTTCCCGGGAGGGCTGAGGGGTGGCAATCCCCGTAGCAGTCCAGGACACAGTAACCAGCACTGCCATCCTCTGAGTCTGGGTGAGCTGGTCTGGTGGAGGACGTGGGGGCCCAAACCTCCTGTGGCAGATAGGGAGACGGCTGCTCCCCCAGTTCCGCACACCCTGCTGGCAGCACCACCTCCGAGCTCAAGGACTCTGGGAGGCCAGGTCCAGGGTTGTCTTTGTCCTCCAGGCCTGTGGGCTGCCAGGGCCATGCTGGGCCCTCAGTGAGCAGGACAATGGCCTCCCACATGCTGGACTCTGAGGTTCCCTGTGGGAGGCCGTCGCAGTCTTGGGTCGGCTGCGGACCAGCCCCATGGGTCCCTGCCCAGGTCTGGAACAGAGCACAGGAAGGAGGGAAGGGCGCTCTCAGAACAGCAACCTCCGTGCTCGGGAAGCTCTCCAGACATCCACACCCAGTGGCCGAGGAGCGCCTGTGCCCAGAACATTCCGAATCCGCTCCGTGTGCCAGCCTGGCTTTGGAGAGGGACCCTGAGTCCCTTCAGCCTCTCGCTGCTCCCTCCCATGCTCACAGCAGCCTGAAACAGGGTACAGATGGTGCCGGGTGCCCAGTTTCAAACTTGAAATTATATTTTGGGGCAACGATCTTGAAAAGGGTCGTTAGTTGTTTGTTTTTGCATAAGATACACAGGATGAAGATGTCCCTGCCCACAGAGCAGAGAGAGGCCCATGGACACCTGACAGGAGGAGCTTAGCACTGAGAAGAGAAACCAGTGACCACCCGTGGGCACCCCTCCCACCACGAAACACGAACCCCCAGAAAACCACACAGATGGTCAGAGTGCCGCTCTAGGCTGCGCATACTTCCCCGTGGCCTATGGGAGCCAAACAGGCCTACGAGGGGCGAAATGCAGGGTCTACTCAAGAGCCATGATGCCTACAAGTGGTCTACGGTGGCCTCCAGAGAACCCAGGGCCTTGATGGAGGCCCAGTAGCAGCACAAGCAGCAGAGACCTTCCCCGTAAACATCTTGGGAGGAGAGGGTAGGAAGAACGGGTGTTAGCAGTGGTGCAGACAGCTGCTCTGTCTGCCCTTTAAACTGACCATTTCCTTCAGTGGCAGAGCAGAGAAGACCAATGAGCCATGAGGAAGTTTAGTTTTTCCACCAAGAACAGAACAAAGACACGTCAGCAACAGAAAACAACTAAATTTTTGCCCACTGGAGACACAGTGTGAAATTTAAACCCACTACACAAAGGAGATTCAGAACACTGACAAAGGCCCCATGCCCACCCCAACCCCATCCAGGCTGTGCCCTGTGCGCACCACGCCCCTACACCTGCCCCTCACACCCTGCAGTGCCCTCACACACCTGGAAGTTCCCACCGTGCACAGCGTAGAGGGGCCGGAAAAACGTGGCTGGCGAGGGCACGTTCTGGTAGAAAGTTCTCTTCATCCTGAGGCCAGGAAGGGGTAGTGTGTAGGGACCCAGACGGGCTCTTCCAAGGCTACACTCCAGAAGGCCTGAGGTCACGGTAGGGACCTGAGCCTTTGTCCAACCAGCAGGCGCCGGCCCACCACATCCAGGATGCTTGCCCTCTGTCCCCGACATTGCATCCAAACCTGCCCTCAGACGGGCTGGGCATGCTAGCCCACTTCTGTAATCCTAGCTATTCGGGAGGCCGAGGAAAGAGAACTGCTTTTTTGTTTATTTGGTGCATGTGTGCCTGTGTGCGCGCCTGATTAGGGATTGAATCCAGGACTTTTACACTGAGTTACATCCCCAGCGTTTTTTTGTTTGTTTGTTTGTTTGTTTGTTTTGAGACAGGGTCTCTGTAAGTTGCAAGTTGCTCAAAATTGAAATCTTGCCTCACCTCGGGTGCTGAGATTACAAGTGTGTGCCCCATGCACTGCTTAACTCAGGGATTATTCCTAGGAGTTTGACACAAACCTGGGCAACACAGCAAGATCCCATCTCAACTAAAAAAGCAAACTAGGGCCGGGTTTTGGCTCAGTGGTTCCGGCGCCTGCCTCACAAGTACAAGGACCTGAGTTCGATCCCCAGTACCAAAAAAACAAAAAACAAAAAGAAAAGCAAACTAGACAATCCTGCCATCTGGGCAGGCTATGGGCTTTGGCTAATGCCCATAGAACTGACGTGTACCAAGGCACATGTCCTTCACAGGGCAAGCTGCAACAGCAGGTTCTCTTTTACTTGTTTGTTTGAGTCAGGGTCTTGCTATGTAGTTCAGGCTGTCCTTGAACTCACTATGTAGCCCAGGCTGGCCTTGCACTTGCAACAATCCTCCTGCCTCAGCCTCCTGAGTGCTGGGATTATAGGTATGCGCCACCAGGCCTGGCAGAAGCCAGGTTCTTAACCCTCAGAGGGAGCCAGACGCTTCAGGAACCACACCCATGCCATCAGCAGACAGGCCAGGCTCCCTGCCCCACCCAGCATCTCCCTGAACAGAACTCCTGCCCATGAGTAGGACGGCAGAGGTCTCCAGCCCCGCAGAACCAAACTGACCTCCCCAGCCTCCCCAGGCCTAGCCTCCCGAGTTCCCACCTCAGGGATTATTCCTCAGCCCTCGGTTTCTTACGACCCTGGCCATCCCTTCACTTCGTTCCATCTCCTCTTTTCTCACTAGCTTGAGTCAAATTGTCTCTCCATGGACACTTCACTCTCAAAACAGACCTGCCTGTGGCACACGCCGAATACCCTTCCCGTGCTCTCCACGGCACTGCTCGGCCTCACACTCCACCCTTGCCCACACCCTCTGGCCCTCCGTCCACTCCCCTCTCATCTTCTCCACGGCTTGGCCACAGCTGAACAGTCTCTTACAGGACCCACACTCCCCGACGCGGTCCTGTGTCCCCCCTCCAACCTGACATGTGACATAGAGGCACAGGGCCTTATCTGAGGCAACCCTGGGCTGAGAACAGGTCCCCATGCATCCGGGAGGGCAGAAATGACACTTTCATACCACGTGTGGACAGATGAGCAAACCGCAAACCCCCAGGGGCAGGAGACAAGGACTTCCGGCTCCTGCTTCCCAGGACTGTGTGTCCCCTCACAGCTGGTAAGGACCAAGCTGTCCTCATCTTCGTCTTTGCCCAGAACACCCTTCTCTTCTCCCTTTGCCTACCTGGGAACCCTCCCACAGGCCCGGTGTGGAGACTCGAAGAACTCATCTGTTCAGAACCGGAAGGTGGAGAGCGAAGGGAGGGAGACAGGAAGGCTGGCCTGCTGTGCCCCAGACACACAAACATATACATGCACACGATCACACACTCACACCAACAGATGGGCACACGAACACACTCAGATGCATGCACTGACAAACAGATCACGCTAGCGCACTCACATGCACATGTTCACATGCATTAACAAATGCACGGTCGTGCACTCACACTACCTCACGTGCATGCACTCACACACACACTGACATATACGCGCACAGATGCATTCACGTGCACGCACAGGCCCTGGCCACCTACCTGGGTAACAGCTTGAACAGGAGGCAGGTCAGTCCAGACAGCAGAAGAAAGATGGTCACAGCAACAAGGCTGGTCTCTGGCCATCTCTCAGATGAAATCAAGAGACCTGCGGGCAGGGCTACGAGCAGCATCGGTGTCAGGCTGTATCCCCGGGGCCACCCGTTAAGGCCCTAAAGCAGAAAGGGTTTAGGATGACCCTTGGAGACTTGCTTAACGCTGCTGAAGTCTGGGGGTCACACACTGGGTCTCCTCCCTTCCGCCTTACCACGCTGCCCTGCTCAAGCCTGTGCCTGGAGGCCGCCCCAGCCCACACTCATAGAGGCAGCCACTAAACTCAGGTGCCCGAGGGCCCGATGTGTGTCGTCCCTCATACATCTTAGGCTCCGAGGGAGGGGACTCCAGGAGGGCTAAAGACAGGAGCGGGAGGGACAAAGCAAAAAGACCTAGGCCAGGCTGGGGAAGAGCGCCCACCACACAACACTCACCCTGCAGCTGCGGAACGCGGAAGCACACGGGCTGGCTCCACTGGCTCCACTGGCCCTCGTGGCACTCCTCGGCCGTGTCCCCCTCCTGCGTGGCCATCTGGACACGCAGCCTGGCCTCGTAAGTGGAGCCAGGGTCCAACTCGGTGGCTTCAAGGGCGAGCCAGGTCACCCCAACGATGTGGTTCTTGCGCTGGGCCCGCTGCGGTGGAGGGGCGTTAGCGGGCACTGGACGTGCTGCGTCCGTCAGCCCTTGAGAATGTACACACGTTCGCACACACATCTGCGGGCGCATTCTCACACTGCCATGCACACTCACGCACACAGATGTGCGCACAGGGACACGCTCGCCATTCACTGAAGTCACGCGCACTTAAACACAGGCACAGACTCGTGTACACTCAATGGGCACAGGCGTGTATAATAATGAGAGCGCACCCTTAGCTCCGGCCCCTCCCCGCCTTACCACTCCAGCATCCCAGGAGGAGAGAGAGCCTCTAAAGTGTTACCTCCCAGGCCTCTCCCTGCTTCTTGAAGGCCAGCTCATAGCTGAGGAGTGAGGCCATGGGCTCCAGGGCAGGACTCATACTCCAGGTCAGGACACAGGAGCCCGAGCTCGTGTTGCTCTGCAAGTCAGTGGGAGGATCCAGCTTCACTGAAACACGGTGAGGCTGTGTGAGGCTGCAGCCCCACGCTCCGGCCCAGAACTGAGGATCTAAAAGATTCCCGCCGGGCCCTGGTCAAGGCCTCCTCAGACCAGGGCCTCACTGGAAGACGGGAGAACAGAACAGCAATGGCTTCTAACCGGTGCAGCAAAGTGTTTTCCAGGGTCTTGCTAACCCTCCTCTACTGTGACTGGAGCGCTCTTCCAGTGACTGGAACTGAAGCGTAGCCCCAGCCCGACTGGTCAAACACCTTCCCGCTTCTCTCTCCTCCCACTCCCGGGTTTGCCGTGAGGACTTCTGGGACCAGATGGGTCACAGACTGAGGTTCCTAGCCCCAACCTCACCATGTCTCCGGGGCAGGTACTGCGATTCCACCAGGCTGACCCGCTCCTTCCCCGAGACACCGTGATGGAAGGTGATGGTGAAGTTGTCGGAGGGCAGGAGCACCTCCTCGGGCGGCAGCACCACCGTGCACGTGCGACCCTGGAAGATGCACTTGTGCTTGCTGCCAGGTGCCTGGTTGCTGGAAAGGCCGGGCATCAGCACCAAGGACTGCTGCTCACCACCGCCACCACAGAGACCACATCCCCAACCCCTTTCCTCTCTCCAGGTGGGCCTGACCCTCCACCACCTCACCTGGTGAAGAGGAGCCAGGGGCCATAGCCCTGACCGGACCCTGGGGCAGACCAGTGACACTCAATCCTGAGGATGTAGTTGTTGAGGCAGGTGAAAGTCTCAGCCCTTGCCCCTGGGGATGACAACCATTTAGGACCACAGTGGACGCTTAGGGCAGAGCGGACTCGGGTAGGGGAGGATCTGCGACGTCACCCTAACAAAGCAGTCTCTGGAGGAGGGCAGGGCTGGGAGACCTGGGAGATGTGGGTTCCCACTCTTGATGCGTGGACAAGTCAGGCCCCAGAGCTGCGGTGGCACATGCCCACAGTGGGCTGTTTCTACCGCTGAAAGCTCTAAAAGGTTCACCGTCACTGCCGTAGAGGCTGAGTGGGAATCAAGAGGAGGAAGGGACCCCGCCCCAGCCTCTGGGTCTCCACACGGCCGCCAGGGCCCAGCTCTCACCTCCTCCCTCCTCTGGGACAGAGACTCCCCGACAGACGCAGGTACAGAGCAGGAGCCAGGTGCCCACATCTCGGATCAGGGCCTCACTCTCCAAGGTCCAACCTGCAAGGGACTGGATTGAGGGGCCTGTGCTAGGGGTTCCCCATGAGACCCTCCTCAGCAAAGGCTCTGGGTGGGCAATCACAGGTGCCCTTGCATCCTGGGAAAGAGGCTGGGCACCTCTGTGCAAGCTTCACTGATCATGAGCTGAAACTGCGAAGGGCCACTCGGCCTGACCAGACTCCTGGCTCAGACTCGGATCTGCCGGGTTCTGGACTCAGACTGTGCCTCTGTCTGCCTAGAAGGGCCCTTTCTGAGACCCACAACCTCAGCCAGCCCATGCCCCTCTCCCCAGGTCCACGCTCAACCACAGGACAGTTGTGGGGGGCCCGGTTGCTGGCAAGAACCAAAGCCAGATTCATAGAGCTCCTCCGGAGCCTCCTGCACTACTCTACTTCTGCCATCAGCCAGGCGAAGAGCAGCCCTGCTCATGACAAGGAGGCAGAGTCCCAGGAAGGGAGGTATCTCGCCCGAAGTCACACAGCCAACCTCTGCATGTCCACACTCCCTTTCTCCCCCAGAGCAGGGATGAGGATGGCAGCAGGTATCTGTGCAACAGGCGACACTGCCTAAACTGCCTGCCCGGGTGTGCAGAGAATGGTTGTCTCGGGCCCCGGGGGACCAGTGGGTCTCAGGAAGTGCCTACGTCTGGAGAAGCTGCTGACGCCCTGTCACCCCATTTGTAGCTACAGATGCTTCAGCGATAGCCCCTGAGCAGGAAGCAGGACTGGCCTGGTTATACAAGACTGATGAGTGATAAAGACGATCAAAGGCAGCAGACGTGCACACAGACCTCGATGCGCTGCACCCCTCCACAGGCTCTACACCCAGCCCACCAACCCCCAGCAGCTCGTCTGCGCATCCACATCCTTCCCTGCAAGAAGTTTGCAGCCCCACACCACCACCAGCAGCAGCACGAAAGGACAGTTCTCCCTCGCCCTGTGTCTCTTGTAGGAGTTACTGACAAGGTGTGATGAGACAGCCCATTCCGGGTGTGGAACAGCCGTGGGTCAGGACCCGGGGGGATCTCGGGTCCAAGGAGACCCAAACCCGATGCACAATCCCGCCCCAGCTAGAGAGGCACCTACATGATCCACAGAGTGCAGAATTAGCCTGGCCCAGCCACAGCCTAGCCCAGAGGCAGATGGTTGAAAGAAGGGAGTATGGTGGCTCCTAGGATTAGCCGGCTCCCTTTCTAGACGGGGGCAGGAGACACCCTGGGGAGCACAACCTACAGCAAGGTGTCCAGCCTGAGGGAGAGATCCTGGCTCTTCCTTGGCACCGGATACATCTGGTAAGCTGGGTAAGGCAGGTGACTCCCACTGGGAGGTCAAGGACTCGCCCAGTATGCTGCATCTCTACTCTCCGCAGGTGTTCGAGGGGCTCCCACGTCGTCTGTGAGCTTACCGAGAGCCGTATGTGACTCCCGTCTGTGCACAGAAGAGATCACAAGTGCTTCACCAGTGAGGTGAGCCTCGGGCAGAATGCAAGCCGTGTATTCCCCAGGGCACTGTGGACCTCTCTCTCCTTAGGGCATCTTGGGCACAGGACAGGACATTACTAAGCCCAAGCCCACTATTCCTTGAGTGGGCCGAGGGCCAGGCAGTCAGAGCAGGTGATACAGCACATCCACACGATCCCTGGTCCTGAGAGAGGTGTGGGATGAGCCCAGGCAGGCCTGACTACCGGCCGGATGCCAAGCCTCAGGCTCGCAGGATAGCAGGAGAGCAGCAGGGGAAGCCAGGGCCTGCCACTGTTGGGAGGCTGCTCCTGCTACCCCGGATCTGTTATCCCTGGCCGACACTACTTCCTCACCAGGAGGGAAGGGGACGTGGCCCTCAGCCCTCAGCTCCTACAGCCTCTGGGTCCTGATCGGGCTCCGATGTTCCGCCTGCCCATTTCCTGGACCACCATCTAGTTGAGGGATGAACTGCGGCTGGAGCCCCGCCTTTGGCCACAGGCTGGGCCAGACCCATAGGAGGGTCTCTCTGCTCCTCACCCTTCCTGGCTCTCAGGTCCCGGTACTTAACCCAGGCCAGAGCAGGTCGTGATGGGAGCCAGCCACGTGACTTGAGCTCCTTGGTACCTTGTAGCACGCTTAAAGCCAGTCGCTGTCATACTTACTGTCATATGTAACCTAATACATCCTTTCTGTGTACGTGTGGTTTTTTGGTATCAGGGATCAGACTCAGGACCTTGCACTTGCGAGGCAGGCGGCAGCACCACTGAGCTAAATCCCCAGCCCTGTGTGGTTCTGAGGATGAACCCAGGGCCTCATGTGCATCAGGCAAGTACTCGCCACTCAGCTGCACCCCAACCCTGCTCTAGATCTTAATGGGAGAAGGTAAGAGCCCTGTGCTGCTACCAAATCACGAAGCTGGACGACGTGGAGGCCTGGAGGTTACTATTTCAATGAAGTCTCCTCTCTGCTGGAGGTGGGGGAACGCAGACCCTGATTCCCCAGAAGCAGCCAGAGCTGGGGCACAGGAAGTCTGCGCCAGGGAATGAGAGGAAATGGGAGCAGGAGGAGCCTGTCCCCCTCCAGCGCTGTGTGTGCTGCCGGGTGGGGACAGAGGGAGAGGCGGGAGCCCCTAGGATCGCTTCCCACACATTTTCAGGGGGCAGAGGGACATCTAGGGTGCAGATCCGCTTGTTTTGTTTTTTGTGCCGGGGAACTCAGGACCTTGCATTTGCAAGGCAGGTGCAGGCACTGAGCTAAATCCCCAGCCCTGCAGATCAGCTTTCACAGCTGCGCTATCAGCATCGTGATCTCCTGCGCCTCTGGCTATTCCATCACCTTTCTAGTCCCGCACATAGCTGTGCCTTGGATAACGGTACCTCCCATGGTTTAACAATCCCTGCAACGGTCAAGTGTGGTGGCGCACGCCTGTAATCCCAGCCCTCGGGAGGCTGAGGCAGGAGGATCGCTGTGAGTTCAAGACCAGCCTGGGCTACATAGTGAGTTCCAGGTCAGTCTCAACTACACAGTGAGACCCTGTCTCAAAAAAACAAACAAAACAAAAACAAACAAACAAAAACATCTGACGTCTGTGGGCTGGGCCCAGAGGTGTTGGATGGACAGGTACAAATCCAGGGCACAGGGGGACGGCAAGAATGGAAGTCAAGAAACTCGAAACGGTGTGTGGGGGAAGAGGCCGAGGGAGCCTCCTCCACAGGCCTGAGCACATGGGACAGCAGGAGTCAGGCAAGCCAGCGTTGTTGCACAGCACCTCAGCAGACAGGACAGAGGGGAGCGGCTAGGCCAGGGCCAGAGTAGAGGTGTCACGGTCTCTGCTACCCAGCCCCAAGGTGGCTCACTGTGGCTCCTCAGTGGTGAGAACCTGCGTTTCCCACACCCTCCCAAGTCCTCAACAGATGCCCTCAGAGGCCACCCTTGGTTCCAGGTTTGGGGCTCTGGGACACACTGGGACAGACCTGAGGTCACTCTGGCAAGACTTCCACTCTAGACCCCTCCAGGCCAAGCTCTGAGAAGACAGTAAGCCCAGAGGGCAGGCAGCCCAGGAAGAACCAGCAGGCAAGGAGGGGAGAGTCCCCGCAGGGCTCCTACCAAGTCCCACTAGCCCAGAGCCCGGAGAATGCAGAGGCTTGCTGCCTCCAAAACATTCCCGCCTCTCTTTCCCTCCCTGGCTTCAACCACGCCCTGAAATCCCACCCATGCCCACTGCCTTCCAGCTCCGCCTCCTGCTGTCACAGCCGAGCCCACCTGGCTGAACAGTGCCGTCTGCCTTCATCCCCGCGCAGTCATTGAGAAGCAGTTTTTGCCATAATTACGCTGCCTGACAAACTGCCCCAGACACACTGACCACAGCAGGCCTGGACACTCTTTATAATTCTCACAGCCCAAACTGCCAGTCTGTCGTATCTGAGAAAGGCCCAGAGCCAGGACACCAGAGGAAAAACTAAGGTGCTTCCCACACACACTTCCCCCGGGCCCGGGAGGGGAGCCACTCCTCCTTTTCTGCCTCCTGAGGTTTGCACCGACTCGAAAGTCTGGGGGCCTGGAACAGACTCACCTTCCCAGAAGAATCTGCCCAGCGCCATCGAGAGTCTCAGGCACCCCCAGCCCGGAGGTGACCCGGTACTGACTGTTCCACGGAGAGCACCAAGCCCCTCACCCGACCCAGAAGATAACTGCAGCAGGCAGTGACGCGAGCCTCCCGGCAGGCTCACGGGCCGCCCACATCTGAAACCACGAGCGAGTCACAGAGCTGCGCTCTCCAGCAGAGCTGAGAGCCTGGCACCAGCACCACCAGCCAGGGAGTCGCGAGGTGTGAAGACTTCACATGACACAGAGCTGCCACACGATGTGTGACTTGTTTCCTCGCTGGCAGATGTGTGCGCCGCTGGGAGGCACTGAACTAGCCCCAGGGTGCTGGCGCACACCTGTGACCCCAAGGAGGGGCCAGGAGGATCACGGAGTTTGAGGCCAGTGTGGCTACAGAGCGGGTTCAAGGCCAGCCTGAACTACAAACAAGACCCTGTCTCAAAAAAGAGAAAGGAAGAAAGAAACGAGAGCTCTCTTTTATCTTGCCCCAGAGGTGTCTCTTTGTGAAAAATTAGGCACAAATCTTTGCAGATACTTTTTGGAGTAATGGGGATCGAACTCAGAACCTTGCGCTTGTGCGGCAGGCACAGCGCCACTAAGCTATATCCCCACCCCATTTACACATTTTCTTGTTTTGTTTTGTTCTGTTTTGTTGTTACCGGGGATCGAGCTCAGGACCTTGTGGGGCAGGCAGGAGAAGCACTGAGCTACATCCCCGGCACCATGTGCACATTTTAATAGAATCACTATGCTGTCAGCTTTGCAATCTCCTGTACCTCTGGCTATTCCATCACCTTCCTAGTCGGCACATAGCTGTGCCTCTGACAACAGTACCTCCCGTGCTTTAATAATCCCTGCAACGGTCAGGCATGGTGGTGCACATCTGTAATCCCAACACTCAGGAGGCTGAGGCAGGAGGATCGCCATGAGTTCAAGGCCAGCCTGAGCTACATAGTGAGTTCAAGGCCAACCTGAACTATTCAGCAGGATCCTGTGTCAAAAAACAAAATAAAACATCCTGGCGGTGGACATTTGGATTATTGCCTATATCCAATGTCACATGAAGGCAGTGAACAGATCTGTACCGAGGATCAAACTCAGGTCCCTGCGCTTGCAAGGCAGGCACTGGAACCACTGAGCTAAATCCCTGGCCCCAGAATCAGTAATTCTACATGAAAAACTGCTAGCAGTAGAACTGTGGGGTCTCAGTATTTTGACAATATTGGTAGATACTCCCAAGTGGCCTACCATGATGTTACACCAACTTCTTTGTGACAATGCCTATAATTTTTACCAAGCATAAATATCAGTCTTTAATCTCTGCCACTGTGATAGGCAAAGAAATTTCGATGTTGTTTTATTTTTTTATGTTGTTTTATTTTTGTACTTCCTTGATTAGTCAAAAGAGGCATGTTGTCATGTAGGTATTAGCCATATGTTCTGTGGGGTACCAAATAAATTCATTTCTCAGCGTGTACGTGTATGTGTGTGTTCTTGTACACGGGTGTGTATATGCATGTGTGCTTGTATGTGTACAGTGAGTCATAAAATTTTAAATAATTTGGTGACCTCAGAGCTACAACTGTCAAGTCTAAGAATGCCAGGACTTGTGCCAAGACAAAAATCAAAGGTTCAAACCAAGGGCCAGGGATTTAGCTCAGTGACGCCACACCTGCCTTGAAAACACAAGGTCCTGAGTTTGATCCCCGGTACCGGGAAAAAAATGGTTCAAGCCATGAAATGGTTCAAGCAGCCAGGGACATATATAGTTTTCTAGTATTTAGGGTTTTTGTTTCTTTGTTTGATTTTTGTGGGGTTTTTGTTTTGTTTTTTGTTTTTGTTTTTTTTTTTTTTTGGTACTGGGGATCAAACTCAGGACCTTCAGTTTCTGAGGCAGGCAGCCTTCTAATATTTAAACTTCAATGATCAAAAAAAAAAAAAGCCGGGCGTGGTGGTGCACGCCTGTCATCCCAGCACTCAGGAGGCTGAGGAAGGAGGATCACTGTGAGTTCGAGACCAGCCTGGGCTGCATAGTGAGTTCCAGGTCAGTCTGTACTACATAGTGAGACCCTGTCTCAAAAAAATAAAAATAAAAAACTTCAATGAACATCACCCCCACCTTATTTACACAAGCATATACTTTTCTATTCACTGGAGACCTCCACACTCTAGTATCCGTACTAAAGAGGGCTTCCTTCTTTCTGGCTGGATTCTCTCCCTCTTCTTGAAGCCTTAATGTACTAATTTGGGACCAGCAGACCACACTGCCCACACCATAACCCCAGAAGTGGAGGCCACAGGACTGGAGAGGAAATAAGGAGATCCTAGGCGTGGGGGAGCCAGAGCAGAGCACCAAATTCTATAACTAAAGCCTATCGAGTATCTCCAAAAACAAAAAACAAACAAATAAACAAAAAAACCACTAGTCTATCCAAACAGTCTCTGAATGACTCATGAACTACAAATGTGCATGACAACCCCAAGCAGCCCAGCTAAGGTTAAAAAAACAGAAGTTTCAGCAGCTGCCCAACTCAAAGACACAGACAACAAAAAAAGTCAACACTCTAGAGAAACACAGCAGAGTCCACAGTCTCAACAACGTTTTTCACAATTTCCAAGATAAATACAAAATTATTAAACATAAGAAGAAACGGAACTGTGTGACCATATTTAAGAAGAATGACAACAGAGACCAGCCCCCAGAGCCAAGCTGTTGGAAATAGAAAAGGGCTTTTTTGTTGTTGTCGTTGAGAGAGTGCATCACTATACAGTTCAGGCTCGACTCAAACTTGCAGAGATCCTCCTGCTTCAGCCTTCTGAATTCTGGGATTGTAAGTATGCACCACCATGCCCAGCAGAAACAGAAATGGTTTTAAAGCAGTTACTCTAACTATGCTAAAGGGAAATATACACCGAATTAATATGAAATCTCAGAGAAATAGAAACTATAAAAAAATGAACCAGAAGTATATGAGAAAATACATTTCAAATAAAAGTAGTAAATCATCACACTATGTAAAACAAAATGACTCTATGGAATCCCCTAAAGGCGGGCAGGTAATCAAGGTTTGACTGGGTAGTCAAAGGAAACCACATCTGAAAACACCAGAGGTCTGCGAGAGCTGTCACAGTGCCCTCCCCAAGCGAGAGGAGCTCAGTGGAGAGTCTTAGACTGCGGTCAGGATTGGTTAGAGCCCTGCATACGCAGCAGCCAAGCCAGCCAGCTCACTCCACCTGGACTTCACACCTGTCACACCTAGGAATCCACCCACAGGCCAGCTGCTTGGACCAAAGTCAGTGCCTCTTCCCACTGAGGAAGGACTTTTTTTTTGGGGGGGGGGGTTTGAGAAAGGGTCTCACTATGTAGTTGAGACTGACCTGGAACTCACTATGTAGCTCAGGCTGGTCTCAAACTCACAGCGATCCTCCTGCTTCAGCCTCCCGAGTGCTGGGATTACAGGTGTCCACCACCACGCCTGGCCTGAGGATGGCTTCTTGCGGCCGGTCCTTGTGCCCCTTTCCTACACTTTACTGTTTTTTTTTATTGTCACTGTTTTGGTAGCAGGGATCAAACTCGGGTCCTTGTGCTTGGGAGGCAGGCAGTGGAACCACTGAGCTAAATTCCCAGCTACCCTTCCACTCTGGAGCAGAGCCTGCTCTCTGGGTCCAGAGCCGAGTCCCTAACAGGCCGGCCACTACCAGGCAGCCTGTGACTGCAAAGTGACAGCCAAAGGCACCGTGTTTGTTGAATTTTGCGTTGAAGACAGTAACTATGTTAACATAAATTTTGAAAAATCCAAATTTACTTTCAGTTGTTTTGGAAGAAGCGATTTTAGATATTTAAAGGAAACTAATCTTTTTCACTGTATTGATCTAAATGATTCTAAGCATAAAAGGACAGATCAATTTTATGTTTTGAGGTTTTTTGTTTTTTTGTACCAGAGCTCGAACTCAGGACCTTGCAGTTGTGAGGCAGGCGCAAAATAAACAATTCATGAGTTGTTTCGCTGTTGGGTTGTCTTGGATAGGGTCTCTCAGAGTTGCCTGGGCTGACCTTGAACTTGGGATTCTCCTGCCTCACCCTCCCAAGCAGCTGGGGGTTGTAGGAACGCTCCACAGTACCCAGCCAGATTCATGTTCTAAACTGCACACTACTTGAGTCATGTGATGAAGTCTCACGGTGTCCCCTCCGTCCTGCCTGGGATGTGAACGGTCTCCGTCCATAGCGCCATGTTTTACACTGCTCTCAGCCGTGAGTCGTTCAGCACCATCTCTGTTATCAAACCAACTGTCCTGGTGTCCCTAAGCCACCCCTATTTCACTCAATAAGGGCCCCAAAGCCCCACAGCAGTGATGCTGGCCTGGCACGGCGGTGCACTCCTGTAACCCTAGCAATGTGGGCGGCTAACACAGAAGGCGGAGTCTGAGCGTCACCCAGGCTCAAAATTAAAAATGGGCCGGGTGTATACGGCTCAGTGCTGCAGTGTCTCTGGGTTTAATCCCCAGTACTTAAAATAGCAGTAACAACAACAACGAAACACAGTATTAGCTTTCATTTTTTATGAAATACTCAGAATTTTGCTTAAATAAATTAAATATTTAGGAATCGTGTGCTACATTGTGTAACAGTGCAGACTGTTGGATAGTGGCAAAGAAATGTCAACCGCCCAGTAAATGCAGAAGATGAAGGAACAGGACCCGACACTGTACTTCTTTTCAGGTCTCCTCCCCACACACAAAACTCCCCGGACACGAGTGACCTCACCCACCCTAACCGGCAGATGCCTACATTTCCTGACACGCTGGCCCTCACCCCAAAAGGGTCCGACAAAGACCCCCAGGACACAGTTCCCACTCCCGGCAGATACTGAGGCAGCCGCGCCAGCCTAATCCCTCCAGCGGTGTCCGCACTGGGCACTGCAGCACTTGTAGAAGGTGGTCATCGGCTCATCTGCAGAGCGGGTCTGAAGCTGCATGAAGTAGGCGCGGGGGTGTTCGCATTTGGGACACGGTTCTGGCAATGAGAAAAACCAAGTGACCCACGTTACACAGAAATGACGCTTTGATGCTTGTGAAGAACGCACCCCTCAAAAGTAGGTGAAGACCGACTCGTTCATCTGATCTCCCCTGACAAAGTAAGTCTAGGGACACCTGCATGCACTCACCCTGAGGAAGTCACGGAGACCTACAACTTTTGTTTTTTTTTTTCTGTTTTGTTTTTTGAGACAGGGTCTCACTATGTAGTTGAGACTGACCTGGAACTCACTATGTAGCCCAGGCTGGTCTCAAACTCACAGCGATCCTCCTGTCTCAGCCTCCCGAGTGCTGGGATTACAGGCGTGCGCCACCACACCTGGCTTCTACAACTTTAAAACATTCCTCTCCCCTCCCTGGATTCCTCTTTTCTTTTCTTTTTTTTTTTTTTTTTTTTTTTTTTTTTTTTGTGGGTACCAGGGATCAAACTCAGGTCCTTGTGCTTGTGAGGCAGGTGGCAAAACCAGTGAGCTAAATCTCCTGCCCTTGGATTCCTCTTTTCTTTCAAATTTGATTGAAGACCAAATGGGAACAACAAAGCCGGTGAATATGTCAGTCTGTTTTGTGCTACTGTAACAAAATACTTGGTACTGGGCAATAAACAGAGGCTGAAACAACTTTTTCTTTTTCTTTTTTTTTCCTTTTTGAGATAGGGCCTTGCTATAGTCCCACACTGGCCTTGAATCTGGGGTTCAGCCTTCCAAGTAGCTGAGAACCACAAATACACAGCACTCCCTCCCCAGGTAAAACTAGAATAGTTTTGTCACTTTTCTTGAGACAGGGTCTGTGCAGCTCAAGCTGGCCTTGAGCTCACTATGCAGTCCAAGCTGGCCTCAAACTCACGGCAATGCTCTTGCCTCAGCCTCCTAAGTGCCAGAACTACAAGCATGGACCACTGCACCCAGCTACGAGAATAGCTTTGAAGTGAGTGATGGAAAAAGGTTGTCACTGTGAATGCAGCACGGGGTTTCCGGGAAGGACTCAAAACAAAGGAGCTCCAGGGACAGCTGCTTCTTCCTAGAGGTTGCTCACACGGCCCTAAACAGACACCATAGAACCAGACCATTCTGAGGAGGCCTTAAAGGGAAGGAGAGTGCCTTGACAGAACTGGCGGAAAAGCCACCTAGCGATTTTGTAGAGCAGAACTGAAGAGCACGGAGGCCCTTGCACCCTGCAGCTCAGTGACCAGGGCTGCTGCAGGTCTGCTCCGCACTCCCACAGAGCTCCTTCACCAGAGCTGCATCAGCCCCTTGGACTTCTTCCCAGCCCCCAGAATGTCATAAATGGCCCACTCTGTGGTATTCTGTAACAGCAGCACAATGGGACTAAGCTGGTAACTCTCGGGCGGTTGTACTTTGGAGGTCAACACTGGTATTCTCCCCAGGAAGGGTATCACAGCTCCCTCAACAGTGGACATGCGGTATCTCATCTTCCCAGTGGATGACTCCGTACACGGAGCCATTTTAGCAACAGCTTCTCCAGCTGCTTCAACACAGCAGATTTGTGTTTGATTTTAACTTTTTAACATATATGCCTATGTTCCTCTCTGGGGGGAAAGAGAACATTAATCATGAGTTAACCGTTCCCCTCTCAAACAGGTTATAACTCTAATCAATTCCTTTTGTTGGTTTTGAAACAGTCTCACTGCATAGTTCAGGCTGGTCTCGAACTCACAGTGATCCTCTTGCCTCAGCCTTCTGAGTTCTGGGGTTTACAGGCATGTACCACCATGCCTGGCAAAATAAACATTTTACACTTGATCTTAGCCAAAAGGCTGAGAAGCGATGAAATCACGTTTTAAAAAGGTATAGGGATGTAGCTCAGTAAAACACCACCTGCATAGCATGTGCAAGACCCCGGGCTCAATCCAGTGTTTTGAAAGGGACCAAAAAAAAAAAAAAAAAAAAAAAAGATTATAAAGGGTCCTTTTCTTTCCCATCTATGTCTATCAAATAATAATCAAGACAAAATTTTAAAAAAACAAACTTAAATATGCCAGGGGTGGCAGCACACGTCTATAAATCCAGCACGCAGGAGGCTGAGGCAGGAGGATCACTGTGAGTTCCAGACTAACCTGGACTACATACAAAGCAAGACCTTGAGTCAAAACAAAATAAACAACAAAAAATCACTTATTTTACTCAACCTATACTTTTAATCCTCGCTGGTACTAACTTTCTAAAATTCATATTAAAATAAAAATATCTTTTTTTTTGGGGGGGTACCAGGGCCAGGGATCGAACTCAGGACCTTGCACTTGTGCAAGGCAAGGCAGGCAGCAGCACCACTGAGCTAAATCCCTGGCTAAAAATACTTTTTTGTTTCTCTAGTCTCTGACTTATCTCTGGTCACTGTTGCCTTCTTTAGAGTGGTCACCTGTAGGGGCCTCTTACAGCCCCCAGCACTTGGCAACTCAATTCTAGCTCTCACCAGCTATGTGTGTGGGAGCCAGAGATTTCCAGAGACACAACCAACAGCCTATAACAAGAGTTTGCCCAGAAGCTGGGCGTGGTGTCGCACACCTGTAATCCCAGCACTTGGGAGGCTGAGGCAGGAGGATCGCTGTGAGTTGGAGACCAGCCTGGGCCACACAGTGAGTTCCAGGTCAGTCTCAACTACATAGTGAGGCTCTGCCTCAAAAAAAAAAAAGAGGTGGCTCTGAGAATCTAACTCCAGAGCTTATACCAACATTGTTTGTGTAACAAATTTTAAATAATAAACTAAAGAAAAATGCATTTCTCACTTTTAGAAGCCTACACCAAACAAATACGTCACAGATCCTGCCAAGCAGTGACACAGTCAACAACAGCACACTTTCCACAGCTTGCCAATGGAAAAGGCTCTCCCTCTCACCTGCAGTAGAGTCAACGTTCTCCCAGGCTGCTGATCCTCCAAGTACATCGTCCACTTCTTTCAGCTTTGGGTACTTCCGGTTTGTTACCTACCAAAAACAAACCTTCAGACTGAAAGTCAGTGAACAGCACAAACCTAAGCCGCTAAACAGCAACCGCCCCCAGATGTCCCCTTAACTTCCTTCCCTCCACAAAAAGCGAAGAGATGCCAAATGAACAAAGTTCCTATCTGACAGCAACACACCACCGGCATGCAGAGGTCCACTGGGATGTTCTCTAAGCAGAAGACACAGGTTCAGCTGTCAGGTACCTCTGTAAAGACTGGGAGAAGCCCCAGAGCAGCAGGGGTAATGGCTTGGATGTGACCTGCTCTTCTCCCAGACCTCTGAGAGGATACCTCACATCAGATAACACCTTCCCATACCTCTTATGAGAGGTATCCCAAGATGAAAGAAACAAAGGGAAGCCAATCAGTACCACGTAGCTGGGTAGCCCAACCACTCCCAGGAAGAAAATTTCAAAGTAGGTCACTCTTGGTTTCTTTCTCAAATTTTATCAGACATTCCTGAAATTTCAAAATCACATAAAAGCTCATCTGCCCATAGTTTCATGCTCTAAAACCACACAGCTGTAAGGTGCAACAGGCAAACATTAAGAATGAGGGAGCAGTAATGTGTCCTAAATACTAAAAAGCAAAGTTGGATTATAAGGGAAAATTACAAGCTATATAATACAGTGTGCATCATTCACACCTTACAGACAATTAATATATTCTAGATTCCGTTCTAGATGCTGAGCCTAGTACACAGGAGAAAACGAAACAGAAATCTCTGCCCTCCCAAGCTTATATCCTAACATTAACAAGACACACAAACTACTAAGTACATTAAAAAGTTATGAGGCCCATGGAAAAAAATAAAACAAGGAAGCCGGGCGTGGTGGCGCACGCCTATAATCCCAGCACTGGGGAGGCTGAGGCAGGAGGTTCGCTGTGAGTTGGAGACCAGCCTGGGCTACACAGTGAGACCCTGTCTCAAAAAACCCAAAATAAATAAATAAATAAAACAAGAAAGATAAACTAGGAGGGGCTACAATTTTAAATAGAATAATCACCTAAGTAGGACAAGACCAAGGAGCCAGACGGCGATCTAGGTCGAAAAGTAACACCTGCAAAGCCCTACCGGTGCCATGTGCTCGATGGGAGATCTTCCAGCAGGCCCATGTGACTGGGTTCGGGACAAAAGAGTTAAGGGAAAGCACGCTGGCACCCGAAGTCAGAGACGCAACATGGGAAGCGGGCCCGGGGAGCACTGCGGAACCGCTCTACGTTTCCGAGCTCAACTCGGACTCTGACGCGGCCCTATCACGACCACTCCGGGAGCGCGGGGCCAGACGGGGAGGTCCCTGGTGAGCCAGGGGGTGGCCGCGGCCAGCCGGGGCGACAACACCGAGGGAGCAACGGCTGGACTTCGGGCCCTGCACCCCGCCGGAAGGCGCGGTGACCGCGCAGACACAGGCCGAGTCGCGGTGGCCGGGAGGGAGGCGGCAGCCGCGCGGGAGCCCAGGGCCCACCTTGCGGGTGATGTTGTGCACGTAGGGGCAAGTGTTGCAGGCGAAGCGGTGACAGCGCTGTCCCTCCTCCACGATCAGCCCGTTCCCGCAGCCGGGGCAGAAAAGCAGCATGACGAGCACACAACCGAGTCCCACGGCCGCAGCTCACACAGACAGACGATCCCGCTCCTCCAACCAATCCGCAGTCCGCTTGCTCCCAGCGGGCCTTGCGGCAGGCGGTCCCACATTTCTCATTGGTCATTGCTGCCGTCCGCCCCTCGGCTCACCAATGGTTGGACGGCCTCAGCTTGGAGGGCCCAGGGTTTGCGCGTGCGCGCTCCGAACCTCTTCACCCCCTCCCCTTCCCCCCCCCCCCCAGCTGGATGGAAGCATCCCGGGAACCAGAGGCTCTGGAAGACTCGGAGGCCGCGCGTGGATCGGAGGAGCTGGAGGACGATGAGGATGAAGAGGAGACGCTGCCTCACTCCGAGGCCGTGGACGTGTTCCAGGAGGGTCTCGCCATGGTGGTGCAGGACCCGCTGCTCTGCGACCTACCGATCCAGGTAGGCGAACTGCCGGATCCGAGGAAGGCGCCTCCGGAGTAGAGATTACGGGCGTGGGCTGCCCGGCCCGGCCGACTTCCTCCCCACTACCCAGTGCTGGGCATTGCCGAGCTGCATCCGCTGCCCACCCTCTACTTTCTTTTGGGGGGGAACTCGAGCTCGAACTCGGGACCTTGCGCTTGCGAGGCAGGCTGCGGCACCACTGAGCTAAATCCCCGGCCAGCCTCTGTTTTCTTGAATACTTCAGTGAAGCTTTTTATCATTACTTTTTGATACCTGGTGATGTTTTTGCACACCTGCCGCACCCTAAGTCGGAAGGCGCGTTAGGATCTCAACCAGCAGGGGCTGGGAGGGAGAAGGGTTGGCCCCAGCGTCTTCTCTCAAACCAGTCCCATCCTCACGCGGGCCCATTCTCTTCACTGGTCCTTTGCCCCGCCCCGGAGTCTGTCCTCTGGATATTGTATAAAAACGTGGAGGGCTCGGGTGTAGCTCAGTGGTGCAGCACTTGCCTAACACAGATGAGGTCCCAAGTCTATCCCCAGTACAGCCTAAGTAAATAAATAAATGGACAGGGTACTGAGAAACAGAACTCCCTAACATACGGGCAGCAGCTTATTCTCCTTGTTGCTCTTCGTAAAAAGAGGCATCACTTTTGGCCACCGTCAGCTTGTTTTGTTTGTTTTCAGTAATAGAGGCCCAGGGTTCCCGCCTCAACCTTTGGTCTTTCCCAGGTTACTTTGGAAGAGGTCAACTCCCAGATAGCACTAGAATATGGCCAAGCAATGACAGTCCGAGTATGCAAGATGGATGGAGAAGTAATGCGTAAGTGCTGTCGTCTTCCTTTTCTCCCTGTCCTTGCTCCAGGAGAAGATACTATTATCAGAGCTCATGGGTGAGAAACTCCGGGCCACGCCCAGGGGTCCTGGGACGCCCACAAGCCCATCCTGACCAACGGAGCCTCGGAGCCAGACAAGCTCTGGACCGCTCTCCCGCCCTCAGAGACGGCTCTGGATTCCCACGAGGGTCTTCTCCCACCTGTGTCCGTTTGTGGTTGCAGCTGTGGTGGTCGTGCAGAACGCCACGGTCCTGGACCTGAAGAAGGCCATTCAGAGATATGTGCAACTCAAGCAGGAGCGTGAGGGGGGCATTCAGCACGTCAGCTGGTGAGTGGAGGAGCGGACCCTTCTCCGCACCCCTTCCTGGGGCTGGCGTGAGGCCGCTGCGGGAAGCGCCTCCACCTTTGCACCGCCCCAGCCTACGTCCGCTACAGAGCTGTCGTGCGAGCGTGCAGATGGGCCGAGGGCTCCTACCTCTGCTGTTCTCTATACACTCGTGCTGGAAGCAGCGTCACCCCACCTGCACTGCTGGATTCTTCACCCGGGCACCTCAGGCCATTACTACATCTGAAATGGTCTCCCTAGTCAGGCAGTGTCCTTGCATCTGCCTCGGTCCTGCTGTGTACACTGTACAGAAGAAAAGCCCATACAGCTATGCACCTCAACCCCTCATCCCACTGCTGTTCCCCTGCTTTGGGTAGAAAGGGGTTGATCGAGTCTCCGTTTTGCAGGTCCTATGTGTGGAGGACGTACCATCTGACCTCCGCAGGAGAGAAGCTCACAGAGGACAGGAAAAGGCTCCGAGAGTAAGTTCAGGCCGTGTCTTGAACTCTAGAGGGACACGTAGTCCGTTACCCTCTGCAGACCTGTGCTCTGTCAGAGGGTGCGGCAGGAACACCTTTGACAGCCCTGAAACCAGGAGCTTCTACTGGGTGAACAGCAGGGAGAGGAGCAGCACCAGGGCCCCTGCTGATTCCCACTGCTGAGAGCAGGCACGAGGTTACGGCCGCTGCTGGTGCTTTATGGCCTGCGGGGTGCACACGGCACCTCTCGGCCTCCCTCAGTACCACGCTCATTGTCACTTGCTCTTTCTTGGTCCTTCACAAGCCTTGGGGGGGCGTTAACCACAGTCCTTCCATGGGTCAGACAGACATTATCGTTCCTTTTTTTCCAGTTATGGTATCCGGAATCGGGATGAGGTGTCCTTCATCAAAAAGCTGAGGCAAAAGTGAACCTCACACAAGGACACCTTGATTCAGTGGTTGAGCTTTCCCAGCAAGATGGATCCCTCCAGTCAACGTTCTCCTCATAAAAAAGGATGTTAGGGTGACTGTGTCCACACTGCGCCCAGTGGGACCTGTCAGTGTGAACCTTGGGTCCCTCAGGACTAGGATAGGGCAAGCCTGTGTTCCTGCTTTTCTGTGAACTTGACCTGACCTCTTGCTGGACTTAAAAACCTTGGTCCCGGGGCTGGGGGCCTGGCCTTGTGTACACAATAAAGCTGTTTGCTTCATATTTTGAAGTCAGAAAGCTGTGTCAGAAAGTACCCTGTGTAGGGGGTGTGGCTTTGCCCCGTCGCAGAGGGTAGGACATGGCCAAGAACTGGCACACGAGGTGTAGTCCGAGAGAGCACCCCGAGTCCTGTGGCCATGTCACGTGCTATGACCATGGTCTCCACAGCAAGGATTTGTGAAGAAAAGCTAAGTGGCTGTTTTCTGTCTGTGCCCGTGAAGAAACAAGGACCTGCCAGGCGTCTACAATCCCAGCACTCGGGAGGCTGAGGCAGGAGGATTGCTGTGAGTTCAAGGCCAGCCTGGGCTACGTAGTGAGTTCCAGGTCAGTCTCAACTACATAGGAAGACCCTGTCTCAAAGACCAAAGAAACCAGGACCTGCCAGTCTCGCAGAGCCTGCACTGGCAGTAAGTGTGTGACACAAGTGTACCTGGGCCGCCAGCCTCCACGCGTAGAGTTCCCAAGAGCAACAGCCTCCCAAGCTCAGTGGACAGAAAGGCAGCAAGGGGTGGAAACAGGCTCAGGGGATACCGACGGGGTGCTTCCCACTGCGGATGTGGGAGATGTGGCAGTCCCTCCCCAGGTCTGTCCAGCACTGGCTTACCAGTCCCTCCAAGAAAGGCAGGCAAGGTGCACCCACCTGGCTGCAGGAAGAGGTAAGAGAGTATGTGGCTGCATCTGTTCTGGGATTGTGGCTCGGGGGCCAGATCCTGCAGGGCCTCCCTCCACTGCCCCAGCCAGAAACCAGGAAGGAGGAGACAGCCCCAGTCCAGTTAGTGGCAGCTAAAACGCTCCCGGTCCATTTATTGGCCACATGCAGTGGTCGTCGAGGGACTAGTTAGAAGGGTTATCATGGGAATTCGTGTAATAAATGCCCGGCAGTATAAAGGAACAAGGCACAAGAGGTCTGTGTCCAGAAAACGCAAGTCCCACACGGATGAGGCAGAGTCCTGCGTGCCTGTGAGGGTGAGGGTGGTCATGGCCACCAGCACCCACGGCCGGCTCAGTGGAGCTGAGCGTCCAGCTCATACTTCTCACAGAACTTGTCGGTGAAGGGGATGCAGGTGAGGAACTCGCACCACTCACAGCGCACGGGATAGAAGTAGAAGAGGGTCACCAGGCCGGCCAGCAGGCCCAGGAAGACCGCCTGGGAGACGATGATCTGGCAGCGTTTGCGGTACAGGTCAAACCTGCCGAAGCTGATGTAGGGCAAGAAAGCAAAGGAGAGGAAGAGGCCGCTGACGAAGCCCGAGATGTGCGCAAAGTTGTCGATCCAGGGCAGCAGCCCGAAGGCGAAGAGGAAGAGCACCACAGCCAGCAGCTTGAAGAAGGCGCGCCAGGGCCGTGCCAGGATCTGCCAGCTCTGGAAGAGCTCCACGAAGAGGCAGGCCAGGATGCCAAACTGCGAGCCGGCCGGGCCCACCTGGGGGCAGTGGCAGTGACAGGCGGCTGTGAGCCGGCCGGGCGAGCAGCCTCCTGGGCCCAGAGCACACCGGGACCGAGAACCAAAGAAGACTCTCCCAGGCGGGGCACTGGGGCTCGGTAAGACCGGGTTCAGGCAGGGCCGTAGGCCCACGTGGAGGTCCCCACCCAGGGGGGCAGCCTTACCTCCGCCCTGTATGGCAGGAAGATGGCACTGGCCAGGTTGCCAGTGACGCCACTCAGCAGATAGATGATGGCTATGCGGTGCCAGCCTGCTAGCTTTTCCAGGTCGCGCAGGACAGTCATCTGGAAGCAAACGGACACCAGGCAGTGCAGAATCCTGTGGGTGGCAGGGGGTGCAGGATAGGAGCACTCAGCAGGGACAATGGCTCCACCGCCACCGGCCAACCGCTCCCGGGGTCCCCGAGGCCACCTGCCCAGGCCAGTTTCACTTGCCCAGCGTGCAGGAAGAGGGACAGCCACAGGCGGTAGAACTGGTCAGGCACCTCAGGGTTGAGGAAAGGCAGGAGACCGCACACATCATCCATGCAGTGCACCTGTGCAGAGTGGCCGGTCAGTACCGGAAGTAACCGGGCACAAGGGCGGGGACACACCCCGGAAGCCAACCTGAGAGCAGAGCGTGGCCTCCTCGTGGAAGTAGCCTCGCATGAAGTCGCAGTACTCCCGGGAGGTGATTTCACACCTGGAAGGTCAGGCCAAGGTCGGGAGGGTGACACCCTGCATTGAGGGGATCGCTGGGGTCTAAGGGCAGAGGCATCTGCTCCTACTACCCAGGCCAACATCTCCGACCCGTGCACCTGCCCACTTGCTGCCTACCCTTTGCTGACCCTTTCTCACCCCACAGCCCTGTTACATCTTGAATTATTTCAGGACGTGGTGTTCTGTTGCGGGTGGTTACCGGGGATTGAACCCAGGGACCCTAGCCCTTCGCTGACTGGCTTTGGCAGTACTGGGGACTGTACCAGGGCCCTGCACATGCTAGACAAGCACTAAGCTGATTCTCCGTACTTTGTACTTTGAGACAAGCTGTTAAGTTGCCCAAGTCCCTCAAGCTCATGATGCTCTACCTTGGCCTCCTATGTAGCTGAGATTATAGGTGTGTGCCGCCGCCACACGCGCCAAGACGTGGTGAGGGAGAAGCGTGCGGTCTAGGACCGTGAAGTGAGCCCAGAAACACGCACCGCACACCTACCTGCCCTTGGTGCCAATGCAGCAGGGCCGGCCGGTTATGACACAGTCCATGTGAGGGTGATTGGTGTGGTTCCCAGCACTGTTTTTGGTACAGATCTAGGTCACAAATAGGGAAGAGCTAGGTCACGGCCTCCCCCGGTTCTTGGCCCCACATCCAATTAGGGGGCTGAGGCAGAGATGGGCGGTGTGATGGGGTAGAAACAGGGCCTTCTTTAACTCCAGCAAACCACCATGCCCTAAAGCCTCAGCTGGGCCATCCGTCGGTGGGAGGACATCGCCTGACCCTCCCGTTCTCTACCTAGAGCCCTCGCCTGGAGAAGGAGGCCTTATTGGGCAAAGACCAGGGACGCAGCAGCTAAAAACGGGTGGGCCCACAGTGGGAGTCTCTGGTGTCACCAGTGGGTAGAGTATGGCCTCCTACCCCACATGACGAGTACCCCCAAAATCCCCCGACTTCTGCTTACCGGCCACTTGGTGATGTCTTCTGGCCACTCGTGGGGATCCTCAGAGGAGGGCTCATCACACACCCTGCACGAGCCCAGTACATGGTTGCAGCCTGCTCCAGCCCGGTTGGCGCCTTCCCCCCCAGCGTGCAGTGAGCAGGAGCACCTAACCCTTCCAGGAGATGTGGGCAGAGGCAGGGAAGGCGACAGCCAGCCGGACTAACCTGGGGTCTTGGTGGCAGACAGAGCCAAACTGCCTCTTGTGACCGGCAAGGTCTGGGGCACTGGGATGCCTGGGCCACTTCACCCACACTGCCAGCGTGGACTGCAGGGACACAGGGTCAGCCCCGGTCAGAGCCCAGCCCTTCCCGGTTCAGTCAGCACGGTGTGGGGTCTGAGTCAGGAGTCAAAGCAAAGCCACGGAGCTCCTCTACTCCACCACTTCACCCCTAGTCTACACTCCTAAAGTGCACTCACAGCCAGAGGAGATTCTGTCACACCGAGTTCAACAGCCTAGTAATTCCTAGCAGTTTAAAAGCGGCCTCTGTGTCCTACGTCAGGAAACATGAACGACGCACCTCCACATCAGATCCTGAGAGCTCGGGAGGCAGCGGCACTTACACTAACTAGGGCACAGGCACAGCACAGAGCCAAACCAAGACCAAACAAAAAGGCAACTAATCATCTACGGGAACTAGAGACAGAGGAGGGCAGGAGTGAGAGGTCATGACAGCCACAGGCAAGGCGTGATGCATCAGAAGCCAGGGTAGCAGAACGTGGTGGCACAGGACGGTAATCCCAGCACTTGGGAGGCTGAGGCAGGAGGATCGCTGCAAGTTCAAGGCCAGCCCGGACTACATGAGTCCAAGGCCACCCTGACAGTGAGCCAGGGTGAAGTCTGGGGACACGGAGAGCCAAGGGCAGGAGCCGTGCAGACCCACCGAGCACTCCTCCTCCGAGGTCTGCACGCAGCCCGAGCGGTCGTTGCGCACGCAGCAGGCAGAGTGCTTCTCCCGTTCACGAGCAGTGCTGATGAAGCTGTGCACCTGTGGGTCCTGGCGCATGCAGGGTGAGAACTTGGCACCCAGGTGAATGAGGGCCTCCTGCAGAGAAAGAGACAGCAGCTGGGGCCCGGGCCCCCCAACCTGCCCTGCCAGGCCCCGCCCTCAGCCCCCGCCCTCACCGAGCTGGGGCCGATCCAGAAGTTCTCCTGCTGCACGTACTTGACATTCTCGTAAACACCCCGGTTCCGCAATACCTGGGGGACAGCCAGGATCAGGCCAGGCTGAGCAGGACGCCACCTCCCAGCGCATGGCCCGAGGGGGTCCAGGACCCAGAGCCACGCACGCGGCCCCGGGGCGCGTGAGAGCTCACCGAGTCCACCGTCTCATGCTGCGAGAAGCCCACGGGCGCGAAGCCATAGATGCTCACGGCTAGAACGGTGACCAGCGAGTGCACAAAGGTGAGCCAGTAGGTGAAGAAGGGCCTGCAGGCGGAGCATGAGCCAGTGTCCTCCGCCGGCC